ATTTTTTTTTAAAGCTAATAATGGTTGAAAAAAAAAAGCAAAAAGCAAAAAAAATACAAACGGAAGTTTAATTTATTGCATGATGGACGACAGAAATAACGATCCAAATTATTATCCGATTATTCACCCTGAATTGCTGTACCTTTGATACGTTATTTGTTGTAAGGCCATTTTTTTTTTGTTTGGTTATGCTCCAAACACAGTTAACCATTATAAGTTTAGTTCTGAACAAAGAAAATTGCAATTTGCTTATTGAACAGTAATAATCGACAAAACAGAGGCTAACCGTTTTGATACAATTACCGTTATACCATTGGAATTTTAGAGCAACCAACACAGTTTCAAGTTACTAAACCATTTAATAAGGGTAATCATCAATTAGCTTTTTCACCAATATATACCGCCGGTTGTCTGCTGTATTATTCACCAATCTTTTGGTGTTGACCGACTGTTAAAGGAAAAAAAAAAATTTGCTTTTTTTTTTTCCTGTCACATTTCTGTGAATGGAATAAATGCAAATGCAAAAAGGGGAAAAAAACAACCAAAAAAATATTGACAACTAAAGCAATAAGCAACACATATAATATCAGTTGAGTCTTAGAAACGAATTGCTTTACATATCAAAAAAATAAGAAAAGGAAAAGCACCTTTTTTCCTTTTTTTTTTTTTTTGTGACGATGGAAAGATAATAAATTGAAGTATTTGCTTGTTACCAGATACACTTCAATTCATTTTGTGTATGGTTTTTTGTTGTTGTTGTTGTTGTTCTGTTTTGTTTAAAACAAATTTTAATAATAGTATTTAACAGTAACAACAAAAATAAACTAAGCTAATGAATAAATAAATACATATTAAGTGCTTTTCAATAGAACAAAGAAAAAAAAAAAACAAATTCCTTTGCTTTTTTTTTTTATACAGTAAAAATATCTTTTGTTTCATGTTTATTTTTGCTTCCAAAAATGTTGTGTCTATTAACTGTTTATAAATCATAAATTAAATAAAAAATACATAAAAGCCTCTCATTAAATAATCGTTATTAAGTAATGTGCAACATAAAGGTTGAAGTAAAACTAAGCTAACTTGATAGGCATCTTGTCATTTCTTTCTTTTTTGCTGCTTTTTTTTTTCATCCTTATCTGTCTCAACATCCGTTCTTCCCATCTCAGATTGCCACCACCTCAACCTTTCTTCTTACTCTTTTCTGATTCCTCTACTGTTTTTCCCTCCACCTCCTCATTCTTTTTCTCGCTCCTTTTTTATTCATTATTAACGTCATCTTCATTAATTTTGCTACATTTGTACTTTTTTTTTTTTGAATCTAATATCTTCAATACCAATATGAGCTTTTACGGTTTAGCTCCTTTCTCTCCCTTCTTTTTTTTTTTCAATAGAAATTCTGTAAACAGCAGAAAAACACAGCATTAAAATCCAAGAAAAAAAAAAAAAAAACTTCTGCTTGATCAAATCACGGTTCTATGATTGCTTTTGTTTTTTTTTTTTTTTTTTGGATTCAACAAAGTTTTTATGATTGTCATTTCTTGTTTCCGTTTCTTTTTTTTTTTCATTAGTACATCAGATGTATGACAGATTTTACTGCGTTTTTGCACTACGCAGATTTTGAAAGCCAGAAAAACAAAAAAATTTTTTTTTTCATGTATTTTCTTTCACTCTTTTTCTTTCTTTCCTTTAATTTTGTGCTGTAACTATCGACACATGCATTTATAGCTTCAAATATATACATTTTTTATAATTTGTGTACAGATATATATATATATATAT